TACATGTATACAAAGTTGTGAAGAGAGAGAGAAAAAGAGAGAGAGAGAGGGAGGGAGAGGAGGAAGGAAAAGATGGGAGAGGAGAAGGATAGAGACAGGCAGAGAGGAAAGACAGAGAGAAAGAAAGACAAAAAGAGAAAAAAATGATTTCATTCATTATCAGGTATAAGTATTAAACCATACTGAATCAAACTTAGGAGATTTTAATAGGTATGTAGTTTGGGATAAGATGTTTGAATTATATAGATAAAAATTATACATACTTGGAAGAAACTGCCTCCATGAATTCATCCAAAAACTTGTCATATTCAGGACCTCGGACTCTCCTCTGCCGCAGGCCAATGTACAGTGGATCTTTAAGTAACTCCTAGTGTTAAAAAAAAAAAAAAAAAAGCAGATGGCATAGAAAGAATTAGCAATGAGAAAGTCATTTACCTTTTCTTAGTCTGTTTCATCTTCTATGTAAGAGACAGAAATGAAAAATAAAATCCTGACATATTGATTCAGAGTAGCCCAGTCACTACTTACCTAATACTTTATAGAGTACAACCATTTTGTTCACAAATCAAATAAGAAAAATAATTACAAAATATTAAAACATTCTGGGTTAATCTGGGGTAAAGAAAAATAATTATAATACATCAGTGGTGCTCATTAGAAAAGCTCCACTCAGATTTTATAAGTAAAATTTCCCACACATGGAAATAATGTTCAGTTTTAAAGATTTACAACAGCTTATGAATGCAAAGATAACAATCCTTTTCATAGATTTATTTCCATTTCCAAAAAAAGAAATCTTCAAACATTTTGAATATACTTGTTATATGACTACTAACTTAAGAGAGAATATTTTCAGCCTTGACCAAGTTTTTCTTAAGCTTTTGTTCCTCTCTCTCTCTCTCTTTCTCTCTCTCCTCCTTCCTCCTTTTTCTCTCCTTTCTCCCTTCTCCCTCTCATAGTCTTTCCAGACAGGGTTTTTCTGTGTAGCCTTGGATGTCCTGAAACTCTCTCTGTAGACCAGCTGTCTTGAACTCACAGACATCTGCTTGCCTCTGCCTCCTGAGTGTTGGGATTAAAGGTGTGCACCATCACCACCCAGCCTAAAATGTTCCTCTTTTTCCTCTTCCTCCTTTTTTTTATTTTCCTTCAAGACAGTGTTTCTCTGTGTAACAAGAGTCCTGGCTGTCCGGGACTCATTTTGTAGACCAGGCTGGCTTCAAACCCAGAGATCCACTTGCCTCTGCCTCCCAAGTACTGGGATTAAAGGTGTGTGCCACCATGACCAGCTTTCTTAAGTTTTTTAAACTTTCTACTTTGCTTTCTTAAACTGATGGAGCTAAGACACCACTATTCCGTTCAAGTACTGGCATAAATAACACTTAACGTTATTTTAATAAATCAAATTTTTTAAACTGAGGTATAATGTAGATAGTGTAAAGCATGACCATTAGTGGCAAAAGTCTTCAGTAATTAAAAATATCTGTAAAAAAAACAGCTAACAACCTATTTTACAGTGAAAGACTGAATTATCTTTAGATTCTAAACAAAGCAAGACTTATCTGTCCTCACCACTTTTCTTCATCATTACACTAGAAACACCAGCTATTACAATAAGGCAAGAAAAAGACAAGCATACAGACTGGAAAGGTTAGAACTAAATACTTTGTATTTGCATAAACATAATTATGTAAATATAAAATGCCAATCTACAAAAATATTGTTTTTATTATATATTAATATAGTTTATATTTACTTAATTATAATTATAATATAATTAAATTCCTTAATTTAATTACAAATTAAATTATATAATTATAAGTATCAATTACATAATTAAATGAGTTAATTTAATTATATTAACTTAATTTAATATAGTCATAGATGTAAGAACATACAGAAACAAATATATTGCTACAAATAAAATTGTAATGAACAGTTGAAATAAAATGTAATTTCATTTTATATTAGTAATCCAAACCACAAAATTCACAGCGAAATATTTATCAATATGTGCGTAAAAGTTGAACACTAAAAACCACAAAGCACTGCTTTTCAAAAACTTGTAAATAGTTTTAAATGCAGACTATAGATAAATTCTTATGAAAAGGAGGGGATACCTCAGAGGGCAGAATCAAGAACTCACAAGAAGGCCAAAGCAAAAGCTTGAAAACAATGAGCTACATGAATCCACTCTGAGGCAACAAAACTGGGCCATAAGCAGGCAGCTCGCTTGATGTCCAGAGACGCTTTATTGGCTATGGACCCTCCAGAACCATAGGATTTCTATTTCTCCAATTTTGACTGGGAATGTTGGTAGTCGGCATTCTGTCCCTGACTTGTCACTGTAAGTTTGATAGGTGAGAAGACATAAATAAAGGCATAGGGGGAATCAAAGAGCAAGCGTCCTCTGCATCTAGACCTGATCTGCATGAGAGGACCTTGACTTTGGACCCACCCCTGCTATTGGGATGGAAACTTTAGAGTCTAAGATGGAAATCCTTGTATTGTGTAGGTGTAATGCAAGCAACTTATGAAGAATGAGAATTTAAATGAAGAAAAGCACACTTGTCCCAGCCATCCAAACTTTCCTATCATCCAGACCAAACTACACCCTACATGGTCATAAACATTAATAAAACAGTAATTTTAAGCCACTGGGACTGGAGGTACTTTGTGACAGACAAATACATTCTTACAGATTTGGTGATGTTAAGTTGGTTCAACTATTTGAATCTTCTGAAGTAGGGTTTATTTAAAGCCAATAGAAACCACGGCCAAGAGCATACCTGTTGTCCTGTGTAATTATTAATAGCATTTTCTCTCATTGTGAAATCTCCTTAGTTTGACCAATACATCTTACTTGCAATGTACTGCTTAACAAGTAGTTAAGGTTTTTGCTCACTGGAAGCTAACATGTTAAATCACACAAATGTAAAATATAAAATCTGAAACCAAGGAGTGCTGTAAAGTCCAGCTGTTCCTTAAGGCATAAAAAATTCTTTAAACAACCCATTGGCAGGCTTCTGGGCAGCCAAGGTTAAACTGCCAATGTGCTACTAATGGCTGCCAATATTAAAATACTTTCTCCAAGTCTGGAATATATTTAGCCTCCAAATATAAGATTTAGCAAAAAAGAAAAAAAGAAGAAAAACACAGTTGAGGAAAACTGTGCCCCTTCTCTTTTCTTCCAGTCTTTCCCACACTGATAACTGAAGCACATGACATAAAGAAGCAGAATGGAGGCAGCTCAATGGGTAGGGGCATTTTCTACTAAGGCAGATGTCCTGAGTTCAGTTCCCAGAATGCACAGGGTAGAAAAAAAAAAAAGAGCAAACTTCCACAGGCTGTCATCTCTTACATACAGACACACAAATAAATGGAAAAAAGAGAAAAATAATTGTAATAAGTTGATTTTAAGATTTATGAAGCTGGGCACAGTGGTGCATACCTGTCATCCCAGCACTCAGGGAGGCAGAGGCAGCAGATCTCTGTGAGTTCGAGGCCAGCCTGGTCTACAAAGTAAATCCAGGACAGCCAACGCTACACAGAGAAACCCTGTTTTGAAAAACAAACAATGCTATCTATAAAAGGACAGTCAAGGCTACACAGAGAAACCCTGTCTTGATAAACAACAACAAAAAAAAGTTTTAAGATGAATTACAATGTTATATAATTCTTCAATTATGATAATGTATTTAAAAGAAAGTGTTTTAGTTATCATAAAATTTAATTTTAAAAGCTAGTGTATTTTTAGAGATTTAACTGCAAAAAAATTAATATATACAAAATGTGATTTAAAAGTGAACAAGCCAGAGGAGGACAATGCTTATACAGGAGGACAGTGGTGGAAGGGAACGAATGAAAGCAAGTTATAATGTCACATATGTGTGAAGACACAGTGATGGAACCTATTACTTAGTATTCTAACCTAAAAAACGGGGGACTAGATTATTCTAGTTTACAGGCTGTCACAACAGGCAGTGCCATGAATAGTTCACATTATGAAAACCTTATGTGACTAGCCACCCAGTTCAAGCTGACTTCCACATGCATGTACACATGTGTGCCACCTACACAGGTGTGCTCCTGCACACATAAACACATGTGCAACACGTCCATACACAGATGCAAAAATAAGAATGCAACAGCACTTTAGACACTGAAGGACAAATTTGAAGGTAAATAGTAAAAATTAGAAAGCAGGGAGAATTCTCCAATATAACGTGATTCATTTAGAAAGCAGGCGACGTGAAAAATCCAAGACAACCAAGCAACTTGACCAAGTTTTAAGACCCACCTTGAAGAAACCATTGGATTCTGATGACTCATGCATTCTACCAATTAAAGAATCCATTGTAGATCCCAGTAATTAAATTTCTCTATGTCCACATGATAACCTTATATACACACACACACAAAGCCCAGGTGGGGACCGGAGAAATGGCTCTTTAGTTAAGAGCTCTAGCTACTCCAGAAGGGGACCTGAGTCAGTTCTCAGCACCCACATGGTGGCTCACAACCATCTGTGACTCCAGCTACAGAGAACAACTCTAACATCATGGGTACCGGGCACTATGTGGTGGAAACATATCCACACAAACAAAATACATATACAAATGAATATAAATAAATAAATCATTTTAAAGGCCCAAGTTTAAAACTGTTCAAATAATTATATGCTTATTTAATAGTTTTCATTATTCTTTAATAACCCCTAGAATTTAAGATACACCATAGATCTTGTAGGTTTTATTTTATTTGATTTCCATTTATCATCTCAGCTTGTTTTAAAAATATGAAAACTAAAGTAAAATCTTATTTTTAATATACACATACAATTTATAACAGTATTTTAAAATAGGTTAGTTTTGATAGTTAAGTCATTTCTATTAGTATTGAAAAAGAAAATATCAGGAAAACCATATTTTAAATCGAAATATTTCCATGGATAAAGGTTAAATAAGCATTCATATACAGGAGCCAAATGCGATTTTGTTCATGTACGATAAACATAACAACTGTTTAATGATGGAAAGACTCTAAAATATTAATGTGGAAGAAAAGTTGAACTCCAAATCATTTACTCCAGGTTCAACACAGATGTTTTGAAGAGTAAGATCCCAAGCTGATTAAATTTAATAAGATCTAGGAAATTAGTTCCTGTACTTCAGATAATGTGCTTCAGATAATGGCACCAATACTTATCAAAGCACTTCAGACCATTAAGATAGATAAAGCATGATTGCTTTATAGAAATGAGAAAATAACAGAAAGCTATTTTCTTATAAAAGTTGGGAGCAGGGCTGGAGAGATGGCTCACAGGTTAAGAGCACTGGCTGTTCTTCTAAAGGTCCTGAGTTCATTTCCCAGCAACCACATGGTGGCTCACAACCATCAATACTGAGATCCTGTGCCCTCTTCTGGGCTGCAGGAACACATGCAGGCAGAATAATGTATTTAAAAAAAATGAGTTGGGGGGGGTCAGAGCTGAGGGGAGTGGGGTAACCTAGAAAAAAAAATGAATGAATTTCATGAAGCTCAAGAAATATGATCTCATAGTGCAAACTTTAACATAATTTTTAAAGACAGGTAGCTGTTTTCTACACTCAAAATGATTACCTCATTTTCTGTTCCCACGTCCAAAGTAACAGGCAGACAGTGCTGTGGGTTCACCCCTCCACATGCTGTGTACAGGGCCAGTTTGCCCACAGGGATGCCCATCCCATTACAACCCAGGTCTCCCAAGCCGAGGATACGCTCTCCATCAGTTACCACAATAGCCTAGAAGAAAGAAAAGACAAAAAGTCTTTATTCGTTCCTGGTCTCTAGTCCTGATGGTAATGCCCTGCAATAAAACACTGAGCTGTAAGAAAATATACATTAAATATGCATATACTGGATATTTAATCATAGCCATGATGGAAGAAGGGGAAAGGAAATGGGTTTTATCTATATATGCTGAGCATTATATAAAGGTATGATATGTATGATTAGTTATATTCCTGTAAAAAGAAGAGGTACGAAATAGAAATTCAAATAACTTACTAAGAGGGGAAATGAGAAATTGGAGCTCAAATTGGAAACAAAAAAGCAAAAGCAGCCAGTGCCCCTCAGTGCAACAGAGGAGTGTCCATAATGACATACTGCAGAAGTGCTAGGTAGACGAGGTAGTCACACCTCTGCTCCAGAATGCTCTGACCTCTTTCTCCCAGAAGCCCCTGAAACTGTGCTGTTATCTCTAGACCATACCCAGAACAGCATGCTACACTGGTGACCTTTCCCTAGAACTAACTGGCTTATTTCTATCTACTTAGAATAATAATGAATTATATATAGTACTTATTTTACAGAATATAGGACTTATTTTACAGAATTTAATATCATCATTAGAAATCATCATTAGAATGAATGCATTCTGTGTCTTCATTCTATGATTCATGGTCACAGTATAAATTAAAACAAACCTAGTTTATTAGATAAGCTAAAGTACTGTACACAAAATATCCATGGAATGGCAGTTATTTGACCCTACATAAAGGAATTAACTCAAGTTTTTATTTCTTACTTATTTTCTTTAAATTCACTTATTTTATGTGTATATGGGTGTTCTGCCTGCTTGTATGTCTGGGTATGACATTCATGCTTGGTTGCCCACAAGGCTAGAAGTGGGCACTGGATTCCCTTGGACTGGGTGATTGTGAGTGCTGGGAATCAAGCCTGGGGTCTTGAGATGGCACCAGTAAGTCTAACGTCTAAGCCATCATTCCAGCCCCTCTATTTCTTAGTTTAAAAAGAGACTAATGGTGTGCCTTCAGAGTGGCTCTGTTTGCTCGCGACTGTAATTCCAGCATCTGGGTACAACAGCACCCAGTAGACAATCAGTAAGTACTAGATAAATCCACGGATACAGACAGTGAAACCACGATATATAAAAAACTTACCATAGTACTTGTATTTTACCTTCTTAAAAAAAAAAATGTGGCTACTGTTCATATCCTCAAAAAATCACCTGCTCTTTGATCACCTCCCCCTGAGGGGGGAGCAGCCTTACCAGGCCACAGAAGGTGACATTGCAGCCACTCCTGATGAGATTTGATAGACTAAGATCAGAAGGAGGAGAGGGGGACCTCCCCTATCAGTGGACTTGGGGAGGGGCATGTGTGAAGGGGGAGGGAGAGTGGGATTGGGAGGGGAGGAGGGGGGCTTATGGGGGGATAAAAAAATGAATAAAGTAACTAATAAAAGTTAAAAAAAATTATAGCACTCTACTGGGGTTCTAGAGTACACTCACACCCTCCTCTCACATTAAAGATCACCAGAATCTAAAAAACTGCCTAGATGAGCCACCCAGGCAGTCCCTGGATCTAGGAGCTGGGTCTGCTCTGAGCACTATGCTCCTTCCACCAGTCTGTATTGCCAGGTATCAGCGTTAAAATGTACCGCTGATAAGACTGCACAGAGAGGACAATGCAGCCAGTCCTGAGGAGACCTGACAAGCTGGGGTCAGAGGGAAGAGGAGGAGGATCACCTCTATCAGTGCACTGGGGGAGGGGCATAGAAGGAAAAGAGGGAGGAAGGGTGGGGTTGGGAGGGGAAGAGGGAGGGAGCTACAGGTGGGATACAAAGTAAATAAACTGTGATTAATAAAAATAAAAATAAAAAATGTACTGCTGAGATCTGCTATTTTAATTTTTCATGTCCTGTAAGATACAACTACTGAAAAGTTGTTTTAAAAGTAAATATACTAATTAACTTAAACTAGTTAATGGTTAATCAATCAGATTCATGATCATGTCAGGTATTAGTCTGATGTATCACAGAAATACACATCCTAGGTTGAACAGATACTAAAAATGTAGAAAACAGCAATGTTTGCCTATTCAGATTTATGACAAACAGACAGACAGACAGATAGACAGATAGATAGACAGATAGACAGAGAGAGGTAGATAAAGATAGATGATTATACACTATGTAAATATAAATAGATGGTCCTCAAAAACATCAGAGACCTACAGAATATGGCACTTAAAGATGTTTTTATTAATTTAAGGCCTTTTTTACTTGAGACATGTCAGTGCCTGGCAACACCTCCAGCCTACACCAACAAAGATGATGAGCATTATAGAATCTCCTTTTGGATATATCTTCATTAATGGCAGCCTAGCCACTGGGCAAACATGCCCCAGCTCTCTCTACAGACAACATGCTGTCCAAAATGGACAAGACTTGGACACCAGCTGAGTTGACTGTCAGGCTCCACCATGACAGTTACACTAAGTAAGTCCTTTATATTTCCTGCTTCACGATTATGTCTGTTGGATACACTGGGCCAAAAGGTTGACAACAATGCTCCAACATTATAGAGAGAGAATGGGTGATTGACCAGGCAATAACTGTGTCATCTCTTAGCTGCTTGTCTGCACTTCCTATTTTATTACTTCTTAAATCTCTGATGGGATTGAAGACTAGACAGTTAATAGTTTGTTAGGCTTAAGTTGTTTAGGAATTAAGAAAGCATTTTAAGGCCTAGAAAGCTGCTTTTTTAAGATGATAAATACAAGATATGATAGAGAATGATGTATGTACAAAACTTAGGCTCACCTACATAGGACAGACAGCACTTTCTTCAAGGTTGCCAAATAGAAATGAGCTAAACATTTTGAATGTAACTTTTACATATGGCTTTCCTGATTCTTTCATGACTGTTTTTACTGTATGTAGTTTATTATAAATAAAGTCCACATGCAAAAAAGTAAATACACTTAAAAGAGGTAAAATTATTTCATAAACTCCATTTTGAAAACTTTTCCCTCTCTAACTGCAAGGAGTCACCATTTCCCCTAATTGCAATGGGTTGATATATTCATGCTCTGACAGAAAAGGTAACACATACCATGTGTAACACAGCTCTAATTTTCAGAAATATATATGCTACATTGAGCACTATAACTTTGTTATGTATATATATTTTGTTTCATATATATTTCATGTAGCATACATGAAATATATATGCTACTATTGAGCACTATAACCCATTTTTCAGGGTCCAAATAATTCAGGTGTCTATTTAGTAGACACGGTTTCATTTAATGTGCTGTCACAGAGAGAGGCATTAGATACACTGCTGATGATATGTACTCTCATAAATGCACTGCTCAACACAGGAAACCCAGTTTTAAATAGTACACACTGTCATCTACTCGATAGCACCACCTATGTTAAATGAATTATATCTTAAATATGAAGATTTTGAAAACATTTTGTTGTTGTAGTTGTACTTAACTTTTATTCCCTAGGCTCCATATAGTACCATTACCTACCAAAATTATGATCATATATGGAGGCATTTTTTTAAACTTTGAGATATTTATATCTTAGCTTAGCTTAGATAATGTTGGAAAATTTTCAACACTACAGAGTCTTAACAGGGATCACTTCCTCCTTGCCTGGCCTCAGGGGATGAGGATATGCTCACTCCTGATGTGACTTAATATGCTGGGGAGGACTGATATGGGGGGGGGAGGGACTCCCCTTTTCTTGGGGGAGAGAGGAGAAGGGGGCCACTGGAAGAAGAGGAGGGAGGGGGCACCCTTGGGGTAGAAAGTAAATAAACTGAAATATATTTTTAAAAATTAAAAAATAAATAAAATGACAAAAAAGTCTTAACAGCAAAAATTTTCTGTGACAAAATATCTTCAGAATGAGCAAACAGAACATCTATACTACCGTGCACTGTACATTTTATCTTATAAATCATCTTTGCTACGTGTGTGTTCAACTACACAGTAGAGACCATATCGTACTTTTCTGTATATTACAATCAAGTGCTGACTTATTTAGTGTCCTGTGCCAAATACTACCCTAAGCTTTTAAAGTTCTATAGGGCTTTGAGGTCCAGGGATAAAGGAAGACTATTAATGAAGCCAAATACGTAGAGTTCAGCTACATAGAGAAGAACTACATAGAGAAGAGTTCAGCTACTGAGAAGAGCAAGAAGCAGGGTGACTGCCTAAGGCCTAGCTGTTACGGTGACAAGGCAAGGTACTGATTAGAACTCCACTCAGGAACTATTTTTCTGAACTGCCTTGTTGATTCTATGATCCTTTCAACTTTCTGCTTAAAGACACATATCAAGCCAGAGGATGGCTCAGCAGAAGCCACCAAAAGAACTCGCCACAGAAGGCTGACCAGACTTCAGATCCCATAACCAAGGTTGTGGAGTGAATGCACCCACATTCACACATGTACGCACATTACACTCATATCACATACACACACACTCACATCACACTAACATACATGCACATACACAAACATACACACATGTACACATATCATACATATCACATGTGTGCATGCACACACACACACACACACACACACACACACAGAAATTATTACTCTAAGTTTCATTAACTCATAGCTCCTAAGGTCATAATGATAAAAACAATGATTTAACAGGTTTCTTCTGCCTACTTTGAACTTGGTGGGTCATTAAACACAGCAAATACAATAAAGGAGTTTGCTTAAAGAATTACATGCCCTACAACTTCAACACACACACACACACACACACATACACATGTATATACATATACAATGACTTTATAAAGAATGAAACACCAAGAAATTAGAAATAACAGGACAAGTCTCTAAACAACTTTACAATAAAATTACTATACCATAGAGAAATCAGAGCTATTAATTAGGTGGCAGTCAACACTGCTCACAGCAAATGAGAGTGTGCCTATGATATAAACTGGTTCATATGATAGAAAAGGAAACAAAGTACCTCAGTGCAAAATCATTGGTAACTTACCTTGACAACATCTTCTGGCCACGCATTAAGAACTGAAGCAATATGCCCTTTGTCGTGGATACTAATAAAGAGTCCTCTGTAGAAAAAAAAAAAAAGTTTTAATTTTACTTCAAACCTGTCAAACGGCCATCAACACTAGTAAAAACTTAAATCTATTAATATACCTCCATCTTAATTCAACTACTGAAAAAGTATTTTCTTAAATAACGGCTAGAAATTCTGTAAGTAAGGGGCGGGGGATACAGCTCGATTGGCAGAGGGCCTATGAGTCACACATGAAGCCCACTTCATGCCAACTTGACAGCCAACACTGTACTGAACTGGACATGGCACTAGGGGGAGGTGAAGAAGACAGATGGATCCCTGAAGCTCACTGGCAAGACACCCCAGCAAAATCAGTGAGCTTTTGACTCAATGAAAAACCCTTCTTAAATAAAGAACAGCTGAGAAAGATTACAAATACTGACCTCTGGGCCAGCAAATAAGTTCAGATGTGCACACATACAAGTATGTACACACACAAATATACATATACCACACTAGTAAAAACAGTTTAGAGCATGTGCTATTCTTGCAGGGGTACACATTCAGCTCCCAGCACCCACAGCAGGCAACTCACAACTGCCTATAACTCAAGCTCCAGCGGATATGCCACCCTCTTCTGGCCTCCAAAAGCATCTGTACTCGTGTGCACATCCCCAGACATAGACTACATAGGTATGAGAAGAGAAGAGAAGAGAAGAGAAGAGAAGAGAAGAGAAGAGAAGA